GGGGGGGGGGGGGTATCAAGCGGGAAATTAAACCCTCACTAACATGATAAAATTTATATAGCTAGCAACTGAACTATTAAAATTCCCCTTAAACAACAGTTCATTTTTCCATGTCTAATAGTCGATGTAATTATGACAAATTTCTTCTAGAATTTTCTGAAGTGCAGCAAGAGTTATATAATGCAAACAACATCATTCGTATTTTTACAATAGTACATGCTTATAACGTTGTCAAAAACTTGGCAAGGTCAAACATTCAGGGGTCATTTTGGTATGAATGTATGATGTAGTATTAAAAAAAAGGTCATGGTATTAAGTTTAGCATTTATTTATCCTGCATTTGGTAGTAATTTTCAATTCAGGTATTGGATACATGTATATGTATTCTTCATATTATTTTATAACGATTTCAACATTGAAAAACAACATATGTGGAGCATTTTAGTAACTCAGTTGGTTGACTATATGAACTTTTACCTTGTTGGTGAGATTCAATTCCCCACTTTGTATATATTCCCCTCCCCCATTTACCTGTCCCCTTCCCGTATGTAATAAATTGAATTTTTTTTAAAAATAACCACATACGTATTACCTAATAAAATATCTAAAAAGAAAAAAACTCCATTAATTGCTATAGTTCTCCTTCTCCAACCCTTCACAGTACAAAAGAACGAGAAGATCAGCACTTAACCAATGCAGCAATGTTTGCGCAGAGTGTTGAACTGGTTACATATTTCAACATGGTAACATAGCAGACAAAGATTCTGGATTTAAGCTTCATGGCTAACCATTATAAAAAAAAAAATCATATGTTTAACTCATAAAAATAAAAAAGTTCGCACGTGAAGGAGCATTTTGAAGATAATTAAATAAATAAAAGGGTCATCTCTCATTCAATCTAAAGCTTAAAGATGATCACACATTTCAACACAAGTTACTAACACTTAAACATATATACGACTAAAAATAACAATGTTAGAGATGGTATATTTGCTGTATAATGATCAGTCGTGCAAGTATGATATTTCAAAGTCAAACTGTTGATAGTGAACGTGAAAAGATGTGAGAATAGCCACCCGCAACGTGCAGGTTGTAATGCATATTTTAGGGTTTAGAGACAACTATGCCTGAGTTGTATAGGGATATTCTGTTTGTCTACCACAGAGGTGACAAAATAAATAAAAGAAAACAGTTATTCAACCGTATTATCCATTAAAAAATAGGTTGGATAATGAACTTTTTAAAAACGGGTTGAATATGGATAAGAATCATATTATCCACTAAGAAAATGGTTAACCAAATGGATAACCAATATGGATAACTAATGTGTTTAACTTTTACATTTATAAAACCTCAAATTGGGGGTTCCTCAAGTTTGGGAGACTAGTAATTCTCGCATAAGTGATTATATTCAACAAGTCATGGATAATATGGATATCCATATTATCCGCCGGATAACCTATTTTTTATCCGTCTCAAATACGAGTCGGGTCGGATAATTTATCCGCTTTTTGAATTACCCGTTTTCGACCCGTGAATATCTGGCCCGACCCGCCCGTTTGCCACCCCTGGTCTACCATATGAGGAGGTGTAACAACTAGAAGCGGAGCCAGATTTAAAGTTTATGGGTTCTGAATTTGTAACCGAAGCTATAATTCGTTAATTACTGGGCTCACAATTAAGTATTTATACATATTTAATAGATTTTCTAATATAAATACAATGTCTAAGCAAAAAGCTACTGGATTCGTCTGAACCCGTAAGTAACACTCTCCCTCCACACCCGGTAGCAACTACTTCCCCTGTGTTAGGCGTGGGCAAACCTAGGAGGCAGAAGGGGGTTATCCGAACCCTCTTCGCAAACAAACCGCAAGATAAATTGAGACGGAGGAAATAATACAAGTCTCAGGCGGTACTAAAATAATACCATGTGCATTATATTCTTCTTAGTCTTTTCTTCTACTTCATCTCCTTCCGATTTGAAATAATTGATGCATTAAAATAGAAATTCAAAAGTCAACTAACTGTATTCTATCCCCCAATGAAAGGAACATTTTTTTTTTTTAATTATAAAAAATTTCTTAGTACAACCAACACCTACTCACACACACATATATACTCATAATATCCTTGTATCTGCAATGCATTATTCCTTCTCAATTAACTAAGTGGGAGAGACAAAGAGAAAGAGATGGGAAAAAAGAGCTTAGTTCTATTGCTTTGTTTTATTGTTATGGCCATGCCAATGGTTAAAGGGGTTGACTTAGAACCCAAGGCTGTTGAAAAATGGTTCGAAAAACTTCCCCATGCAAAGCAAAAGGTAACCAAATTTCATTTCTATTTCCACGATATACTTAGTGGGAAGAATCCAACTGCAATTCAAATAGCCCGATCCAATACAACTGCTAAATCTCCAACTTTATTTGGGGGTGTTGCAATGATGGACGACCCACTAACAGTTGGGCCAGAGCCCAACTCAACAATAGTGGGACGAGCCCAAGGAATATATGGGTCAGCTGATCAAAAGGAAGCTGCCCTTCTTATGAACCTCAACTTTGTTTTCACAACTGGTAAGTACAATGGTAGTACACTTAGTGTTCTTGGCCGGAATCCTGTGTTTAATCAGTACCGTGAAATGCCGATCATCGGCGGTTCTGGTGTTTTCCGGCTAGCTCAGGGAATTGCCACTGCAAAGACCGTTTGGTTTAATTTAACCAGTGGGGATGCTGTTGTTGAGTATAATGTTATAGTCCGACATTATTCACATTAATTTTGGAGTTTTGCGCGTTGACTTTCATTTTGTAATTTCCTATTTTATTGTATTTAATAGGTCTATTGTTTCTCTATTTTTGTCTTAAGAATAAGGATGTGTATTGATGATCAATGAAATAAGACCTTTAAGATGTCTTGAATTGTATGGATATCCAACTTAATTTCTTGGATATGTTTAAGGTACTAAATAATCTAAATAAATAGTCAACGAACTGAGATATATGCGAGGGCAAAGATCATTTTTAGTTTACGGTCAAAATTATTTATATCCAGTAGCCGTAAAAGTGTATAAATTTGTATATGTTTTGTGTATAACATACAAAAATTTATATATAAAAAATGCAACAAATATGTATTTTTTTGACTATTATTTTGAAAGCTGTTATACAGTGCCATTTTCCCTAATATCCTATGACTTTTTGGTGGTAGATGTAATGAAAACAAAAAGTTGTTATTATCTGGAAGTGAAAGCTGGTATATTATAAAAACCATGCTGGCAACTAATTAGATGATTTTAAGCAGTATGTGATAACAATTATACATTTTAATGATGCATTTAGTTAGTTTCGTTTAGTTTTCATACAATATATTTTTCCATTGTGTATATATCAAATGAGATCATGTGGTAGTTACGCTGTTAACTACTCATCCAATATATTTGCAATGTGTTTGAATAATTATTATCAAAATGGATATATAGTCTAGAAATAATTAACAACCTATGACTAAAAAAGGTTATGCGTTCAGTCAAGTTATTTAATGACTCTATTCATTTCCAATAATTTCGTACAAATTTTATTATAAGGTACATTATATTTAGAAGCAAGATGTGACAATTAAAATTTTGTTAAAACGATATGATCTAATATACTCCAATAAACCGTCCAAATTTTATTCATATATTAGGTTTAGATTTAAGGTTTAGAGACACCATACCTGAGTTGTATATAGGGTCCTGTCTTGCTTGGCTACCACATGAGGAATGAGTTGCAACAATTACAACCAGGTTACGCCACCCAAGACAATCAAAATAAGATTTAAATAAAGTATACATTAACAATGTACTCCTTAATTAAATAATATTTTTACTATATATATAAATATATTGTTTTTGGCAATTAGAATTTTTTTATTACCAGTGAAATATGTACAAATATAAAAAAACCCTATAAATTTCATACTATAAACCCATATTCATGAATACATAATTTTAATGGATTATATAAATATTATTAAACGATTTGTTTAAGTTATGAAATGAAATTTAAAGCAAAAATATATATTCTTAAAATGATGAATGTTGATTCCATTTAGCTAACAAAATAAGAAATAAATCCTACCCTTCGAAGCCCTCAGAGCCTTATAGTAATTTTTGAGGACTTCTTTGGGAATATTTTATGAAAATTATTGTTTACTGTGTGACTTAATACCTAAAATAAACAAGTGGCACAAAAATAATATATCACAATTATCCAAAGATTTTCAAATAAGACAAAATTGAAAAATTAAATATTTTAAATTTTTAGAGATTTGATAATGAAGAGGTTGTCATAAGAAATATGGATGTGTATCGATAGTGCAATAATATACACCTTTAACGTGTCCAATATTCTACATATAATAATTAGGTAGAAGTTGTGAGGAAAAAGTTGAAATTATCTGGAAGTGAAAGCTAGGATTAAAGATACCAAAAACAGTGCAGGAAACTCGATGATTATATATAAGCGGTATGTGATGCATTGATACAAATACAATTTAATAATCTCTTTAGTCTTCATACAAACCTATTTTTTATTGTTTAAAATGAGATCATACGATAGTTGGTTGATCTGTTGATAACTACTCTTTTAATATGTTTTAATGATTATCATCTAATTTTAGCAAGTATATTGGGCGTGTGAATAAAATTTTACAATGGTAGCTGAAAAGATTGAAAGATTACATATAAGATGTAAGGATAACTTACAAGTGTAAGGCCTTTTGGTGAAACCGTGCCGGTTTGACCCAATTTAACGTTGTTCGGTCAATGTGACCTACGTTCACATGCGAAAAGAAACAATTTCACTATACCAACAAGAGTACAAAAGAGATTATAAAATAAGAGTAGATACTCTAATTAGTCCCAAATCCCGCAAAAGAATAACCTTACAAGATTATTCCAAAAAAAAGATTTACACAAGTATTTTCCAACACTCAATCTCTTACAAAATACTCTATAATGAAAGAAAGAAAAAACAAGAGACGTTTGTCTCAAACTGTGGTGTATTTGATATGGACATTTGCGAGCCTATTTGTAAGAAAATGAGATGGTCATGTATGGAATATGATTGGCCAGCAAGGTCTTTACTGAATGAACATAAAATGTCCAATAAAGTGACTAATAAAAGATTAAAGAGAAGCCAACAAGGCACATAGTCTATGGCCAAAAGTAGGCCACGTATATTACAATACTCGTAATATATTTGTATCTACAATGCATTATTTCTTTTTAATTAACGAAGTGGGAGAGACGAAGAGAAAGAAGAGATGGAGAAAAGGAGCCTAGTTCTATTGCTTTGCTTCATTGTTATGGCCATGCTAATGGTTCAAGGCGTTGACTTAGGACCCAAGGTTGTTGAAAAATGGTTCGAAAAACTTTCCCATGCAAAGCAAAAGTTAACCAAATTTTATTTTTATTTCCACGACATACTCAGAGGTAAGAATCCAACTACAGTTCAAATATCCCAATCCAATACAACTGCTAAATCCCCAACTTTATTTGGGTTTGTTGCAATGATGGACTACCTATTAACAGTTAGGCCATAGCTCAATTCAACAATAGTGGGCCGAACCCAAGGAATATATGGTTCAGATGATCAAAAAGAAGGTGCCATTCTCATGAACCTCAACTTTGTGTTCACCAGTGGTAAGTTCAATGGTAGCTCATTGAGTGTACTTGGACGGAATCCTGTATTTGATCAATACCGTGAAATGCCGATCGTGGTGATTCTGGAGTTTTTCGGTTGGCTCAGGGAATTGCCACTGCAAAGACCGTTTGGTTCAACATAACCAATGGGGATGCTATTGTTGAGTATAATGTTATAGTCTTACATTACTCACATATAGGCTTACATTACTCACAGTGATTTAGAGTTTTACATGTTGATTTTCATTTGTAATTTTCTATTTTACTCAATTGTTCTATAGTTTCTCTATTTTGTCATAAAAATAAGGATGTGTATTGCTGATCAATGAAATAAGACGTTTAAGATGTTTTGAATTGTATGAATAGCATCTTAATTTCTTACACTACCAGAAAATTGCTCTTCTCCAACTACTAATTCCGGCTACAAAACAGTAGTAGGAAATTTTCGATTACAATTGGAACGACCCGACCGGTCATTTTTCTTTCTAGATCCCTGTTCCCCTAATTAAGATACTCTGTATGTACTTTTAATGTTTTATAACTTGCGGGGATGGTAGGTATGGGTTTGGAAGGTTTGGGTTGAAATCGGAACACTTAGTTCCTTGAAAGTAGCCTAAGATGGCCAAGTTTGACTTGAGTCAACATTTTAAGTAAACGACCTCAGAATCGAGATTTGATGGTTCCAATAGATTCGTAGGATACTTTGGACTTGAGTGTGTCTTCGGATCGGGTTTCGGGTGAACTGAGAGCGTTTCAACGCTTAATGTTGAAAGTTGGCGCATTGAAGGTTTTCAAGTTCTTTAAATTTGGTTTGAAGTAGACTTTGGTGTAATCGAGGCCCATTTGGGATTTCGAGCCTGGGAATATATCCGTATGGTGATTTATTATTTGTACGCAAGATTTGGCGTCATTTCAAATTGCCTAAGTATGATTCGATGCATTCGGATCTAGTTAAAAAGTTTGAAGTTCATAAGTTGATCAATTTGGTTTTGGGGTGCGATTATTAATCTCGATGTTGTTTTATGTGTTTCGAGGATTCGAGCAGGTCCGTAGACTATTTGGTGCATTTGGACGGGGTTCCGGGTGGCTCGGGTGTGTTTCGGACCACCCGGAGCTAAGCCAAAATTTGTAGAAAATGTTGTTCTGATTTTCTTCTTCGCGAACGCGGAGAAGGAGTCGCATTCGCGATGAAGGAATGGATCTGGGTGGCATTTTTCCCTACGTGTTTGCGAGTGGGTGACCGCGTTGGCGATGCCCTGGGCCACTGGCCTTCGCGTTCGCGATTAAGCCTTCGCGATCACAAAGTGTGAGGCTAGCTGGTGAGGGGGGAAGTCAATGACCTTTGCGTTCTCATTGAGGCTGTCGCGTTCGCGATAGGCAGGTCAGCTAAGCCTTCACATTCTCAAGGCTAGTCTCGCGTTAGCTAAGGAAAATTTTCTGGGCTTGGGAATTTTGTCTTTGCGATCGCGGGTGACCTCTCGCGATCGTGAAGAAGGAATCACTGGGCAGAAAATATTTTTAAAGTCGGGACTTAGGCTTATTTTTCCCATTTCTTATTGTGTTGGCCAAATTTGGAGCTTCTTGGAGGGGGTTTTCATCAAGCACTATAAGGTGAGTGATTTTTTCCTAATGTGAAATAAATACATAGATTATGGGTAGATTTTATCACGTGAAATATGGAAATTTTAGAATTTTGTTGGAAAACCTAGGTTTTGATATAAATGGGATTAGGCCACAAAAATAATTATGGAATTGAGTAGAAATGATATATTTGTATTCGTGAGTTTATGGGTAATATTTATTTACGAAAATTTTCGGAATTCGGGCAACTGGGCCCGAGGGTAAATTTTAGGAACCTTCCAAATCGGGTTGGGTAATTACTCTAGTGGTTAAATTATGAACTTCTGAGCACTTATTGATTAGTTTATATGCCTTTTGATTAGCTTTCGATTGCTTGGCTTCGTTTAAGGAGTTCTAGTGTGGTTAAAGAGCCGGTTAGTGGACTTGAAAGCGAGGTAAGTCTCTTGCCTAATCTTGTAAGAAGGAATTTATCCCCATAGTGTATTAATTATTGTGTGCTACTTGTTGTGGGGAGCTACGTACGCACGTGGTGACGAGAGTCCGTACGTAGCTATATCCATGTTATATCCTGGTAGACTTAGATTCACATCATGCCTTATTTTTGCTATTTGTATCTATCCTGTGTATTGATTTTCTTGATTATGACTGAGAATGAGTATTAGA